GCGAGGTCAGGATCGTCTAACCGACCCCCATCCCCATCCTCATCGCCTTCGAGACCCCCACCGAATTATCCCCAAAGTTGGGGATACACCCCTCGAAAGCCGAAGGGAACGGCCCATATCCCCACCTGGGAGGGGGGCAAATCGGCCAGTGGGGCCCAGGCCACGTCGCTGGGGATGGGGGTCGGAAAAACGATACTCACGAGGACCAACGGGCGGGGGCCGTGGGGGGAGGAGCGACGGCGTAATTAGGCTCGATTTGCCCGAGGCTCGATTTGCCCGGCTCGATTTGCCCGGCTCGATTCGCCCGAGTCGCAGACGTCCAGCGAAGAGAGGCTCGGTGCCAGAGCCTTTGCTTTGGGCCAGGGCCCCGACCGACAAGACCAGGGGCAGGAGGAGGGGTGCGGGCCGCGGGCAGAGTCAGCCATGGACCTTGCAGTCAACCCGCATAGGAAGGAGAAACGACTTAGGTTGCCCTTGCATCCTTCCCCTTCGGCCCATCCTTGGCCGCTCTCGCTGGCCGCGCCCCGCTCGCAGAGGGTCGACATGGCCTTCCAAGGCCCCTGCATCCTTACTGTGCGTCTTCATCCTGCGGGTCGACTGCAGACGTCGAGTGTGGGCGGAGGTCTGTACCACCCCGCTCCCCGATCTCTCCGGGTCTCCTCCCTTGGCCTCGGGAGCCGTTGGCGGGCGTGCGCACGAGGTGCCCAGGGCATCCAGGGCATCAAGCAGCGGCGAAGCGTCCTGGCGTGCCTATAGGCCTACCAGACAATGTTATAAGAACCTTTTGTGGTCTGCACGAAATGTTCTTAGAACATTTCTCGCTGGGACTGTCTTGTTTTATCACGTCGGGCTCATGTTCTGAAACATGTGTTTTGTTGTTAGAACATGTTTAGGTTCTAAGAACATGTTGTGGAAGGCCTTAGGAATGCCAGGACGGTCGGTCCCTGCTCAAGAGCAGGACTGGCGGCCGGACCACTTGCGTGCTGGTCGTGCGCCAAGGCTGAGGTGAGGGACAGGCCTGTGGGCACGCCAACGCCAATCACACCGAGTAATTGGGGCAACTGGTGGCGGCACCGAGGCGGCCAGGGACAGAGCAGTCGCGAAGCCCAGCCAGGCAGCCCAGGGCGGTCGCACAGCGATGCCCGGGCGCTGACTTGCGCGCGCGCGCGTCCTCCCCTTGCCTTGCCCTCCTCCTCCCGCCTCCCCTCGTCCTCCGCCGCTGCCCCCGTGCATCCCGCCCCCGTGCCTCCCCGTTGGCGCCGCCCCTGCCCACTGGTCACAGGACTCCGCCACGGAGGACCTCTGCTCGCAGCTGGGCAAGGCTCGGCGGCGAGCCCCGGGGGGAAGTGAGCGTCACAGGCGACTTTTCTCCCCTGAATCCCCGAGTTCCGCCTGAAAAGTTTGGCCGCTCAGAAAAAGGGGAAAACCCTGGGGTCCCCCCAACTGGGCTATTCGGACGCACCCCAATCGAGAATGGACGCCTCCCCATTGTATATCCCAGGATAGGGTCCCAACTTTCTGGTCCATTCGAACCTCCCAAAGCCTGGGATAGGTGTCGACCTATCCCCTGTTAGAGAGGAGGCAGGCCCGCTCAGGAGGCGGCGGGTCTTCTCAGCAGCCCTCGTGCCTTCTGAGCTGCTTTCTGAGTCTTTGGGGAAGGCTTGGACAACTGCTCAGGAGGCCGGCGGCCTTCCGAGCTGTCTGAGAAGGCACGCCCCCTCTCCCTTCCCCCCTGCGCTCGGCGCCAAAAGGCCATCTCTGCCGCTCGCTGGCGAGAGGGGTCGTACGAGGTGGCCACGATGGGCGGCCTGGGCCGCATCCTAGGCGGGGCAGCCCCAGCCTGCTGCTGCTGCTGCTGCTGCTGTTCCGGTCGCGGTGTCTCGGCTCGGATGCAGTCGAAGCTTGACTGGACGCCCCGATCTCTTCGAGGCTATTTCCGTCTCAAGAGAGTGCAGCAGCGTGCGCTAGCGTCTGGTGATCGATGGGAAAGCGCCGACTCCGCGCAGATTTAGCGTCAATTTAGCTTCGGTGTAGCTTCGGCTAGTTTCGATTAGCGTCGATTCGCGTTGGTTAGCGTCGCTTCGCAATGGCCGGCAAGATGGCAAGGAGACTCCCATGAGTTGGCCGTAGAACTGTATCGCCACCCTCTGGCCCTCAAGAGGCCCCAAGAGGCCCTCAAGAAGCCCAAAAGAGGCTCCTAGAGTCCCCAAGACGGCACCCAAAAGGCTTCAAACCTCTTTCTAAGAGGCCCCCGAAGACATGCCAAGAAGGTCCCATGACGACTTCAAGAAGCAGTCCAGGATGCTCCGAGGAGGCCACAAGAAGCAAGCTAGAAGTTGAGCGCGCGCGAAGCGCGCGCGATGGTTCTACTGTTATGTTTTGACTCTTTCGCCGCCGCAATGTGGGTGTCATGCCGGCTGTCGCATGCGCCGATGTCCGAACGAAAGACAAAGGTTGACAATGACAATCCTGACAGAGACATGCGTAGGATCTATCAGCGGTAACACTTCCCAACGCGTCGTCTCTCTCGTGCTCAAGTCCATCACCGCCATATCATGCAAGCGGTCTCTAAACGTTTAGCTACCTCCACGAATCTGAGATAAAAGCCCCACTATTTGCCCCTTCCCCACCACCATCTTTAGATCTCAGCTTGACATCCCTTGAGACTCGGGCCCCCCCGCTCGAACCCGCCCGCGCCCCCCCGGGCGCCACGCGGAGCTTGCAGGACAGCGAGATGCGCAGCGGCAGCAGGTCGCGGCCACCCTGGAGGGCCTGGGGGAGGGGTTGCGCCTTTTTTGTCTTCCCTGCCTCAGCTTGTCTTGCCTCTTTCTTGTGCTTCATCGATCAGGCGCATCCTCCGACCATTGGCCAGTCCCCCGCGGCACGATTTACACCACCACGTGCACGGCCCCATCCTCTTGCCCCTGGCATTCCGGCAGGTCTCAAGGCCGGTGAGGTTTTTCTTTGGAGTCGGAATTGGTATGTCATAACTAGGCCGGTAGGTTCGGTGAATCGAGGATGCGGAGGCGGGGTAGGATGAGGTTGGTGAGGACGAGGATGGATATAGGGACGAACATGAGGAGGTTGAGGTGGGTGAGGTCGGAGGGGAAAGACAGAGGGGTCGAGGAGTGGGGAAGGAGATGCATAAGGAGGAGGGATAGGTGGAGGAGCGCCAAGACAGGGGGGAATGGACAGCAAAACGGTGATGGTGAAGAGTGCGAGGAGGGGGATGATGGGGGCAGGGTAGAAGAGGAGGACAGGGGGTGAGGATGAGGAGGGGCTTTGTGAGGAGGAGGGGGGGCAGGAGGAGGAGGAGGAGGAGGAGGAGGAGGAGGAGGAGGAGGAGGAGGAGGGGAGGAGGAGGAGGAGGAGGAGGAGGGGAGGAGAAGGAGGAGGACGGGGAGGGAGAGGAGGGGAGGTGGGATAGGGAGGAGATGAGGAGGGCCAGAGTAAACCCAACGTGTTTCAACGATGCTGCAACACACACTCCCGTCCCAAGTCCCCTCATTTGTCCTAATAAGTTTCTTTCACTGCGCGAGACGGTACCCTTGAAAAACGAACGCCCGATCGGCCTGCAATTCAGGCGGGGGGTCTTTTGAACGACATTGGTTTTTATATTTCAGCTTTATGGGATGCGATAACAGTGGGTCATAACGTTCAAGGAAGTGCCCAGCCACCGCCCCGCTTCGAAAGGGGATCGCCCTCCATCCGTGTAACTGTTGCACAGTGCTCTCCTTGTGTAGCTGGACAAGTATACGAACACGTAAGCGGGAGCTCCAATTTGAAAAGGAGCCGGCATCCAGCCGCGGAAGTGTTGCCTATTTTTTGTAAATGTGGTACGGCGCGTTCAGGAAGGGCCTCAAGCGAGGTCCCCGTGTTTAAAAGGCAGCATCCTCCATCCGTGTAAGTCTTGTACGTTTTAAGATGATATTGGGCGCGGCTTCAAGGAGAGCACCTTTTTGAGAACGGGCTGCCTTATAACTGTTTGGCCGTTGGATGGTCAAGACGAGTGGACGCGTCGCCAAGGCGAGAGCCCCATTTTGAAACCAAACTGCCCTTCATCCGTGCAATTGTGAGATGGCTCAAGATGAGTATTCGTGTGTGCCGCCGAGGGGAGCGCCCCGTCTTGGAACGGACCGCTCTCCATCCGTGAAGCTGTTGGACAGCTCATGCCTCAGGACAGTAAACGGTGAGGAAGTCTCGGACGAAACGCTTGCCTGGCCCTAACCACTTCTAGTGGTGCGACAGGGAGGAAGTATCTGCAAGAAAACGGAGCTGTGGACGAATACGGTGCAGGGGAGAATACGGCTCAGGTTCTTCCCATTCTCTTGCGATGCCCACGTCTCCCTGTCTCCCTTCCCTACCCTTTCTCTCGCTCCCGCCTCCACTCTCTTCCCCCCCTCGCCTCCCCCTCCTGCCCAATTCTTCCTGCCCCCTCCCTCCCCACAGAAGGGGATTGGACCAGGATGTGGCGCTGACCGACCTGAGCTCGTTGAAGCAGCACGCCGCTCTCACGGTCGCGGCTGCCCGTCAGGAGGGCAGGGGCATGGTTAGTGAGCCCAGCCGTTCTTCTCTTCTTCTCCTTCTCTGCTCCCTCTCCCTTTCCAAGACCATGTTTAGTGACGATACAACCACCCTTCGAGCTTGTTCCCAACCATCCTGTGGTGTTGGGTCCTCGTTTTGAAGAGACGGTGCCCCGCGTTCCTCCTCCTCCTTCCTCCTCCTCCCCTTCCTCCCCCCTCCTCCCCCTCCCACACCCATTCTGGCACACCCCTCACACGTTTCGTGGCCCCATAGGGAGCTCCACCGAAGGCCCCAGTGGCTGCGCCCGCATGCGGTTCCACCCCCCATTCTGGCACACCCCTCACACGCTTCGTGGCCCCATAGGGAGCTCCACCGAAGGCCCCAGTGGCTGCGCCCGCATGCGGTTCCACCCCCCATTCTGGCACACCCCTCGTTTCGTGGCCCCATAGGGAGCTCCACCGAAGGCCCCAGTGGCTGCGCCCGCATGCGGTTCCACCCCCCATTCTGGCACACCCCTCACACGTTTCGTGGCCCCATAGGGAGCTCCACCGAAGGCCCCAGTGGCTGCGCCCGCATGCGGTTCCACCCCCATTCTGGCACACCCCTCACACGTTTCGTGGCCCCATAGGGAGCTCCACCGAAGGCCCCAGTGGCTGCGCCCGCATGCGGTTCCACCCCCCATTCTGGCACACCCCTCACACGTTTCGTGGCCCCATAGGGAGCTCCACCGAAGGCCCCAGTGGCTGCGCCCGCATGCGGTTCCACCCCCCATTCTGGCACACCCCTCACACGTTTCGTGGCCCCATAGGGAGCTCCACCGAAGGCCCCAGTGGCTGCGCCCGCATGCGGTTCCACCCCCATTCTGGCACACCCCTCACACGTTTCGTGGCCCCATAGGGAGCTCCACCGAAGGCCCCAGTGGCTGCGCCCGCATGCGGTTCCACCCCCCATTCTGGCACACCCCTCACACGTTTCGTGGCCCCATAGGGAGCTCCACCGAAGGCCCCAGTGGCTGCGCCCGCATGCGGTTCCACCCCCCGTTCTGGCACACCCCTCACACGTTTCGTGGCCCCATAGGGAGCTCCACCGAAGGCCCCAGTGGCTGCGCCCGCATGCGGTTCCACCCCCCATTCTGGCACACCCCTCACACGTTTCGTGGCCCCAGCTAGTGGCTGCGCCCGCATGCGGTTCCACCCCCCCTGGAAGGCCCCATAGGGAGCTCCACCGAAGGCCCCAGTGGCTGCGCCCGCATGCGGTTCCACCCCCCATTTCGGCACACCCCTCACACGCTTCGTGGGTGGCTCCATGGGGAGCTCCACCGAACGCCCCAGTGGCTGCGCTCGCATGTGGTTCCCCCCCCATTTCGGCACACCCCTCACACGGTTCGTGGCCCCATAGAGAGCTCCACCGAAGGCCCCAGTGGCTGCGCTCGCATGCGGTTCCACCCCTTTTTCGGCACGCCCTTCACACGTCTCGTGGCCCCATAGGGAGCTCCACCGAACGCCGCAGTGGCTGCGCTCGCATGCGGTTCCACCCCCCATTTCGGCACACCCCTCACACGTTTCGTGGCTCCATAGGGAGCTCCACCGAAGGCCCCAGTGGCTGCGCTGGCATGCGGTTCCACACCCCATTCTGGCACACCCCTCGCACGCTTCGTGGCCCCATAGGGGGCTCCACCAAAGGTCCCAGTGGCACTGCCCGCTTGCGTCCGCCACCACCCAGCACAGCCCTTGTTCCCTGCGCTTCACCCACCCAGAACAGCGCTTCGTGGCCCCATAGGGAGCTCCACCGAAGGCCCCAGTGGCACCGCTCGCATGCGTCCGCCACCACGCAGCACAGCCCTTGCTGACCGCGTCTCACCCACCCAGTACAGCGTTTCGTGGACACATAGGAAGCTCCACCGAAGGTCCCAGTGGCACCGCCCGCATGCGTCCGCCACCACCCAGCACAATTGCGGTATTCACAACTGCATATGGTTGGGTCCTTCGCCAGGCTAATTTTTTTATTGCTCGGACCCGTAACGCCCGTTACGGGGGGGGTCCCCCCCCCCGAAATGGAACGAATTACAACCGACTGGTCCCAATTCCAACCGTTCGCAGCGAATTGCAACCAGAAATGACCAAATTCCAACCAGAAATGAGACCAATTGCAACCATGGATGGGATCTTCGGAATTCCTCCGGATTCCTTCGGATTCTTCGGAATTCCTCAGGATTCCTTCGGATTCTTCGGAAACGGTACTCAGCGCAGGGGAAAACGGGATATTCGGCGCGTTTGCATACATCCCCGGCAGCAGAGGGGGCTAGTATCCCACGGCAGGCTTGCCCTCATCTGTTCTCTGGATGCCTTGCAGCTGCTTGCGGGGACAACCGCTCGCCGCCGTGGCGAAAAAACACCCGCTCTCGGATTGCATTTTTGCGTGCCGCCACCGCCAGCTTTATTCAGAGATGCCTCTCGGCACGCTCCGCCCCCTCGTGGCTGGTTGGCAGTTGGTTGGTGGCCTGGTTGGCTGGCTGGCTGGTTCTTTGGCTGTTTGGCTGCTTGGTTGGCTCGCTGGCTGGTTGGCTGGTTGGTTGCCTGCCTTGCTGGTTGGTTGGTTTGTTGGTTGGCCTACAGGCCTGCGCCATCTCACATGCCGAGGGGCCCGCCCGCTCGCGGATTGCATTTCTCCGTACCATTACTATCACTACTAGTGCGACCACGACCACGACTACGACTACGACTACAATTACAGTTACTACTACTACTACTACTACGACTACTACTACTACTACTACTTCTACTACTACTTCTACTACTATTACCACCACCACCACCTACTCCTACTACTACCACCACCACCACCACTACTACTACTACTACGACGATTACTACTACTACTACTACTACTACTACTACTACTACTACTACTACTACTACTACTACTACTCTTACTACTACTACCACTACTACTGCTACTACTACTACTACTACTACCAGTACTACTACTACTGCTACTACTACTACTACTACTACTACTACTACTACTTCTACTAGTACTACTAGTACTACTAGTACTACTCGTA